CAACAAATCTTTAATCCTCAACTAGATATTGTTCAGCCCCCGATAATTGGAGCTTATCCTGACCAAGGAATTGTTGAACCAGAAATTCATCAAGAAATAAATTTCACAGAAGAAAATTTAGAAGAAATAAATTTAGACGGAATTTTAGACGTACTAACAGAAGCACAAGAAGGAGTAAATTTTCAAGAAGGATTAGAAGAAGAAAAAGTACACTCAGAACCAGAATCAGAAGGAACTATAGAAAACGAAGAATCAGAACCAGAAATAAACATGGGAGATCAAGCTTTACAAGATGCTGCACAAGCTATAAATGCTCTTGCTGCTGCCCTTGGACAAGGTGGTGAAAAATCCCTAATCAAAATCGACTTTTATCATGGTGATGGAACTCAGGACCCAGTTACCTGGGTTGAGGAATTTGAACGAGCTGCCAAGGCCAACCATTGGAGCCCTGCTCGCCAATTGGAGTTAGCTGCTGCTTATATGAAGGACAATGCCCAGGAATGGTTCTCTAGCCTTGCTAATGCCCCAACTCATTTCCATCATAACCGGCATGGCCAGAATGTAAATGGTGTTAATATCTATAGCTTTACTCACCTGTTCAAAGAAAAATTTAGCACTACCAAGCAAAAGGCTGCTTGGCAGAAACAACTTTTTGAAATCAAACAAGGCACAGACACTGTTGATACTTACGTTAGCCGCTTTAAACAACTAAAAGGACATGTGGACCCTCTTAATAACTTCCCAGCTGCTGTTATGATCCAGTTCTTTATCCAAGGATTACGACCCGAATATGCTATGAATGTCCAAGCTGCTGAACCTGCTAACTTGGGTGCTGCTATTACTGAGGCACGTAAATGGGAAACAGGACGAATGATGGCCTCTGAACATAATGCCAATAATACCAACCAAGCCATTGAGCGCCTTACTGAACAAATTGCCAAGCTCAGTATAAATCTCGCTGAAAAACAAGCTGCTCCTCCTACCACTACTTCTGTCTACTACACTGACCAAAACAAGGACCGACCTCAATCCAATGCTGGAAATGCCACATGCTATTATTGTGGACAAAAGGGACATTTCATCTGGAATTGCCATACTCGATACCAGGACAACAGGAAGGACTACCAGGGATACCAATCCCGAGGCAGAAGCAGTAATTATTTCTCTAGGAATAACCGATCCTATGATAGATCCAGATCCAGAAACAGAAGCCAATCTAGGGATAGAAATTATAATCGTTCTGGATATGATCGATCCAGGAGCCGAAGCCAGTCTCGTGATAAATACAGAAATAACTGAAACCACCACTCTTC